AAAGACTTTAACATAAGGGTCAGAACTACCTCCCACATCCATGGCAGGGAGTTCAGCAGCCTGCAAGATGCCGACTATCAGCTAGAATGTGATCGCAAAGGAAAGTAATAACAAGAGATGAGATTCTCGATAATTGACAGCAAGTTATTAATTTGGTGAACATTTTAGAGTTTGCAGATGGTGAGGAAAAATGTCATAGTGAATAGTGGCATCTCACTGTGTTGTCTGTGAAGTTGTAGTCTAATGTGTAATGGAGCCTGCCCAGCTTCTCCTCCTCCTTGGGCTCATTATCTGACAGCTCGGTTTCTTTGTTACCTTCGTCTTTCAGCGGCTGCAACCACAGACACACACAGATCACATGCAGGAATAATAAAACATAGCTTTACAAGTAATCAATGAAGTGCTTCTATCTCACAGCTATTGTGTCGGGTTCATGCAGTATATTGTAAGCACTACACAGCCAGAGGTGATTAAACAAAGATATAGTTACCGTCTAAAGCGTATTTATTGTTTAAAGTTTACAGGCAGTTTTACAGCATCAGTGTGGGTAAATGTGACCTGAATCCTTGAGGACAAGGGAAACACTCTTAAACAGCTCATCTCAGTCCTCAAACTTTACTACAATATGAGCTGGCAAAACATCCATTAGTCCTAACACACACTGACAGTTTTACTAGTCCTGTGTGACCCGGACGTCAGGACTGTGATCCATTGCAAGGACAGTACATCTGCAGGGGGACACTGTGTGTGTGTCTGTGTGTGTGTGTAGTTTACCTCGCTGTAACCTCCATCCATTTCAGTGTCAATGCCTCCGTTGCTCTTCTCTTTTCCCTTTTTCTTGTCCTTTTCTTTGTCCTTGTCCTTCTTTTTCAAGCACTTTTTCCACACACACACTGCACATGACAACACCACGCACAAGCTTACGATGCAAAGGGCAGCAACTGCCCATGATGGCACTGCAAGATGAAATAAACACACACATAGAGGATGCATAATTGATTTTTTTAGTCAGCCACTTGAATGCAAAGATAAACAGAGTGAGGAAAATCTTTATAGATCATATTTTGTGGTGGTGTTGTATTGCATTGCAATGTTCAGTCTTCAGTGTTCTGTATTCTGCTTGTTCTAAAGCATCATGGAAGCAATATTTGACTATAATATCATGTCACATATTCAAATACAAGATGACATTTTTTTATGACTTGCAGTTTGCTTCCCCATAAAACATGCGCATAGCGTTAAAAGCAGTACGCATTAACAATCCTGGTACGTCAGAACTAATAAAAATGAATAACTTCCACACAAGAGGAACATAAAACGCAGTTCTAGAGTAGATTTTAAAAGTACCCAACCTAACCTGTTTTTCTGTCCCCTTTGAGTCAACGCTTGTTTGGCCTTATCATATGATGTGTGTACCTTCCTCATTCAGTCACAACATTCTAGACACTCCCTGAGCTTTTACTGTTTTAGGATGATTTTGCCATCCAATTATTTAAACTGACACAAACACAGATGACTATCTTATTTATTAAGTGACTTGTATGATAAATGGAGATTACTTAGGCCATTGTAAGACTCTGGCATTGTAAATGTTTATTAACAGTGGCAGATAGTCCATTTTATTAATTTTGGTTGTGTGTGATTTTTTTCAAATTCATTTTCTGTTCATTTGTTATTTTTATATAACAATGACTGAATATTTTCGGAACATTATATTATACTTACGGCAGTTGCATAAAATCGTCTTGAAATGACAATAATATTTTGTTCTCGCAATTATTTCTGTGATATATTTTAGCAGGCTACGCACCATAACAGCATATCAGCATGATAGTTTAGTTATGTTATTCCGGACATTCCTTTGGTTCCAAAGACCTCAGAGTCTGACTCACTGTGGACGCTGTGCAGTTCACTCATGAACTTGTTGGGACTGTGGCCTCCAGAATGGCCGGGGTTGGTTGTTTCATTTGGCAAGTGGGTTGTTGGAGCGGGGGTGCCCGGTGCAGGGGGGGCAGCTCGGCGGTTCCCAGTCATTATTGGACGAGTAACAGATCCAGAATTAAACTGACAGAGAAACACAGAGTCAAGAAAATATTGTCTCAGCCCTTAAATAACAACTTGAGTAATTTAAGGAACATCACACTATATTAAACAAAAAACAAAAAATCTATTTTGAGGAACAATCAAAACAGAACACATAAACACATACACCCTCCAAGTTTCCTTAAATGCTTTTGATTAGATGTATCTGTAGCATTAATATGCTTTTAGAAACTGTATGACCATCAGTGTCAAATGACTCCTGTTTCTGCTGGCCTGGCACTAACACTTTAACACAGGATATGCAAGCAGCTGTCTCGGTCAAAGCTGCTGACATGCAGGGGAGAGGAAGGGGACAATTGAAGTTGAAGCGTCACGCGTGGACCGCTGCTGTTCCACTGTGAGCTGCAGGGGTCAGAGTCATGGGCCAAGGTCATGCTCAGTATCTACGAAAAAAACTGCCAAGACTCCCATGTTAAAAAAAATGTAGATACCTTTTTTGCTATTCTGCGGACATCACAAGTATTGAGTATCTGGAGTTGAGTCAGCAGATGAGATCTCACACCAAAGCAGGACACTTATCTCAGTTTATGTCTGCTTTTTCTGAAAAGACAGGCGCTAAACAGAAGCCACTGATTAATTACAGCTGCAGGAGCAAACAGATGTACCTAATGATGGCAGAAAGAACACCATGTCTCACATGATACAGGTCTCTTATACTGATCACGTTATGTATTTCAATACTTATATATAATATTTCTGATTTGGTTTTGTAAAAGTTTGACTAAGTAATAATGAGTAATTCAGAGATTAGATTTTTTTCACATGGTAATTTGAAATGAAAATACTTAAATTATGAATTGTTAAATATCGTGTATATATATAAAACATATGTAAACGTAACTAAATGTGTAAATTTGCGTCTGTCAATATGTTTGATACAGATGATAATGAATAATGAATGACCAGCCGCACCATATGTCCCCTTAACTTTAGTTAAAACAGCAGTTAAAACTGTTTTTACACCTCATCCAAAAAGTTAGCAAATTCATTACATTAATGTGTGCATTCTAGTGTCATTGCACCGTCACTGACAACTTAAGAGAGCCTTGTTTTTAACTTGACATTGGACATTTTCTCAACCTTCACAAGAACTGCATCTTTCATAGATACAAAAGAAAATCACGGAATTTGGAGGTAAAAACTAATAAATCACCCAAGGTTATTATGTTGCACCTAGACTGTATCTGGTCAATAAGAGAATGACCCTCACCAACCTGATTATTCTAATTTTGTTATGGTTTACACAGTTACTTTTCACTGAGCACAGTTGGGAGAGAAATACATCAAAGTACTTTTATTTGATAAAACTAAGAGAAAGATAAGGACCCAGAGACATACCTGTATTCAGTCGCCTCAGCAGCAATATCCAGACACACAGGTACTCCTTCCCAGAGAGAGGTGGAAGAGGAGGAGGAGGAGGATAGATGACAGGACCAGAGAGGGCGGGACAGGCGGAGGAAAACAGTGAGAGAGGAAAGAGTTTTTGTATCATAGATGTCACAAAGAAGAGAGCAGGTGTATGAAAAGCTGGATCAAGGGGGAGAGCAAGAGCGAGGTAGCGTAGGACAAGGTGGGGAATTGCAGCTCGGTCTTCTTCTATTGCTTCCTTCTGTGTGTGTGTGTGTGTGTGTGTGTGTTACTTGTGAATGTGATCTTGTCCATCCCTTCAGGTCTCATGGGAGCACGGGTGCTTATTTGCGCCCCACCTCTTGTGACCTCTGTCCCATCCCAACAGGTCACCCTCACTGGGCCACTGATGCATATTCATTAGCGAAATGACATGGCTTTTTAAAGGCTCGTTAGCATAGTGAGAGTTCAGCAATAGAGGATATTTACATTCACTGTGGACAGCTCTGTATGTGTGTGTTGGTGTGTGTGCATCTGGCAGGAGCTGCAGAACTGTCTCATATTGTCTATGTATAGATGATGTTGCCTAATTTAGAAACTTAGGATGTGGTTTCTGCAGCAACACAGAGATCAAGTTCCGGCCCCGCCCCGTTCACCTTGAGGTACCAGACATACTGTAGAGATACTGTATAGAAGGAGGGAAGAAAGAGAGGGGGATGGGCAGGGGAGGGTGGGGTGACATCACCTCTGTCCTTGACATGTGGAAATACACACAATGCATGTTTCTGCTTATCGGGAACATTTTAGATCAACATGGATTATCACTTCCCAAAGTCTGCTATTTTAATAATTATGTGACAGTATGGTCAGCTGACTTTAGCTTTCAGCATTAGTACATTTTCATGTGTAGAAAATAAACTTTATTTAGTTCTAGCCAGTCCCAATTGATAATGATCTCTTTAACAAGGGAGACCTGAGAACAAATGACACATAAACAGTATAACAACACAATTTGAAACACTTAAAAATATTGTTGACGTCTGGTGATGTTATATCTGATCTCAACGAAGAATATAAAGCTTCTCTGCAAACATTCAGGAATTTCTTGAAATCAAACAGATCTTCATTTATGTGCTTTCTTAGAGACAAAGAGTGTTAATGGTGGACATAAAGCTTTTTAAAAGACATTGTAGGAAACGCATACGTGTTTGTTTTTTTTCTACACCTAGCACCACTCCTATTGACCATGTAAAGCAATATTATCAGATTATGAAAGAGACTTGTGATTTCCATAAAGAAATTGTTCATTTGAACAACAAACTAAATAGGCATTTTAGTCACATGACACTCCCATGTCATGTGCAGTATCATATCATAATAATCTTAAATGTATTTGTATTTATTACTTTTGCACAAGCATTTTAAAAGGAAAATTGTGGTACAATAATGTGTACATAAGTGTTTACAGTATACCAGTGTCCTTGGCTGTAGGGTTAGAAAACATCTTGACGCTAGGTGGCAGCAGTCACTTCTGATGTGAATTACAGCTCTACAACAAACCACAGAAGAAGCCTCGTCTCTAGGATACGGAGGAAGCGTTCCTGTTGGGCTGATGGTAAGTACTCTGAGATAAAAGCATCGTGTTGTGGCGAATATTTTTGTTTGTTTGGTTCATACTGGCAACTAGAAACTAGTGCGTTTATGTTATATCTAGGGTTTGTAATAAAATAAGCCCCTGTGCGGAAGGGTTCATCTCATTTCATTCAGCTAGCTAGCAGATGCTAATGTTATCTACGCAGCTTCTAGCTGTTAGCAGTGATCAGAAAATAGTTATACGAGTTTATAACGCTAACCAAGTAAACTAACTTTACACTGATTTTCTCAAAGTGAACATTGACTGACGCTGAGTAGTAGAGGAGGAAGCAGTCAAAGTAGAAGTACTACAGTGTAGGAATACTCTGTTAGAGTTAAAAGTCCTGCAATCAAAATGTTAGTCAAGTAAAAGTACAAAGGTTTGACTCGTAATTATACCTTATGTACCGAAAGTAAAAGTAATATTTATGTAAATTGGCCCATCCCAGAATAATATTTGTCATATGTTTTGATTATAATTATTGCTGTATTGATGTGTTTATTTAAATGTGGTAAAGGGGCAGCTAATTTGTATTACTTTGTAGCTTGTGAATTTACTCCAGGTGTAATTAAAGTCTTATTTAAGTGTTGATTCTTTTTCACATTATTAATCCAAACGTGAGATGTAAGACTGTAACCCTAAATTGAAATCCATCCTGTGTCAAATGTTTGTAAACTAAAACTGTGCTGCATACATTATATTGTTGGAATTTCAAGCCCATCTGTAGAGTTTTGAGGCAGTAGTATTTAAATGTCTTGTTGCTTTTTATGAAATACCAAAAGCATATTTGTAAAAAAGTTCTGTTTCCTGTTTGTAAATTGTGTATTTTCTCTTGCAATTGATATTTATGTTTCTTTCAGGTTGCAGGGATGCCGCCAGTGGAGCGTCTTCATCTGGATCATGTTGTGCAGACTGTGTGTGTGTTGGAGTCAGTTGTCCTCCGCAGTTTTGGCCCTGAAGGAGGACAGGTTCTGTTCACCAGAGACACGGGACAGGCGATGTTGAGCCGCAGTGGGGCTCGCATTCTCACTGCGCTACGACTTGAGCATCCACTGGCCAGGTAACACACACACTCTGTCACTATGATAGTCTTTGACGAGTGACATTTTATATTTTTTATATATTTGTGTGTTTTTGGTTTTAGGATGGTGGTGGAGTGCGTCTTGAAACACAGCACTGTAACAGGCGATGGATCCAAGACGTTTATCCTACTGCTAGCTTCATTACTACGGATGATTCATAAAATGGCCTGCAAGGAGCCTAATGTGTCCCACACCTACACCTCCAGGCAAACGGCAGAGGCTTCAACTGCCAGGCACTTGGCTGACAAAATTCTGGCATTTGCATTGGAGGAGCTAGATGATCTCATAGCCATGGGAGTGATTCCATATGGATGCTGTCTGTCATGGGAGGATTTCACTGCAAAAACACATTTACCAGGACCCTCAAACAATGACTGTGTTCAAAAACTGCTGACATCATTCTTTCATTCACGTCTGGGTCGTTCCCACTGTGACTTTATAAGCAAACTAACCTGTGAACTGCTGACTCACTGGAAGTTTAAAAGGGACCAACCTTCCTTATCACTTGAGTTTGTAAATGACAACTTCGATGCATTGCACACACCTGTGTCAGGCTTCCCTATCAGTTGTTCACGTTTGATTGAGGGGCAAGTCATTCACAGAGACTTTGCTACACCGTGCCCTCAGACTGAACAAAAGACAGTTAAAGCTGCAGTTTTCTCTGGTTACCTCCAGCCAAAATTGCTCAATGCAGGACAAGTGCTGCAGCTGGGATGTGGAGAGCAATGGATGGGGGATAATTCAAAGAACAACAGAAGTATAGTGCAGTTTAGCGCCTGGACAGAAAGGTCCCTGGAGTGTGTCTTTGCAAACCTGCAGAGTTTGGGTGTCTCTGTGATCCTGTCTGCAGTGAAACAGTCGGCTGCTGTCCTGTCTTTAGCTGCACAGGCAGAGATGTGCGTTGTGGAGTGTGTCAGTGAAGATGAGCTGTCTCTCTTTGCCCAGCTAAGTGGGGCCACACCTGTCTTAGACTGCTGGATGGTTGAACCAGAGCACGTCGCTACGCTGACCTTTTGTAGACCAATTCTGCTGGGAGCCCATAGGTATAAACATGTCTCTTTGCTACTCATATAAATATGTATATTTAAAAGTCAAAAAAATGCATACAATTCATTATCATAGATAATAATTGATTTAACATACATGTATGTTGTTATGATTTTCTCAATCTTCTTTGATTCATGAATGTTAAAATTTGACTTTTTCTCCCACAGGTATGTCCATGTGGCTTTCAATGATTCAGAGGAAAGGGTCACGGTCAAACCATGTAGTCTGGTCATTTGTGGCCTAGGGGAAGGACAAACTGACCAGTATACATGTGCATTTCGAGACGCCATCCGCATGCTCCTTTCAACATGGGAGCCCATGGGTATGACTGCAACCACATCCTCAAAGAGGACCTTGCAGTCAACCAAAAGCACTTCTTCACATGTGGATCAGATCCCCAATGTACCTCCCTTCCAGCAGTGTGGGTTGCAGCCAGGTTGTGTTATACCTGCTGGTGGGACATTCGAGTTTCTCTTACACCATGCCCTCCTACAAAATGGCACCAGTTGCTCAGCCTCTGATGACACAGTTACGAGTGGCCTTGCTGTTTCCCAGCTCTTGGCAAATGCTCTACTGATCGTGCCCAGACAGATTTATTCCCACAGTCCAAGACATTTCCTGCAGGCTCAAGCAAGGTTCCAGACTATTGTTCAAAACCATTCCCACCCGTTTAGCCTTGTCTACAAACAGGAGCACAGCTCAATCTTTGGGGAAAGTGCATTTCCTCTAGAGGAGGATAAACTAACAAAGCATCATTTTACTGAGGCTGACATGTCAGCAAAACTGTTCATGTCAGACTCCGGCCTTGAATCTGTGTCTTGTAAATACCAGCTACTTCTGGCTGTTCTACAGTGTCTGTCAAGTATTCTCCATGTAGACACCGTGCTGCACACACACACTGCCTTACACACTCAGTCACGCAGACTTGCTAACACTTCCTGGGAGGACACAGACGACGAGACTGAAGACTGAGATTGTATTGTATCCAAAAGGTAAAATAATGAATATATTTTTGTATCATTCAAAAGGTGGAAGGAGATAATTTGCAGATTGCTCTAGCAATATTAGTAACACATGTATTTGATATGCAACTTTATACTTCCACTGTAATAATAAATTACTTTTCATGGCAGCACTGTTGTATGGTTCAGTTTTTGGCTAGTAAAATGTTACAGTGGTTCTTCACCAATCAGTCCAATTATGGCTAGGTTTACCAACACCAAAGAAAACATCAAACAACTTAGTCTTAGTCTCTGTATTTGACAGAATGGGCAATTGTTATCATATCATTTAGTCTGTATCTACTGTGTTTATGTGTAGAAGTGTGGTAGGCGTCTTTTCTCTTGAGTTTTCATCGTGGTTCCTATTTTTCTCTTCCTTATCTCGTTTTTCCTGCCCTCTTCCTTTGGCCGATACACATAATGTTACATAAGAGGCATACACACAGAACAACATGGAGACATGTCTCACATATGAACATAGTTCTTTTTATAATCAGCGTTATCTCCATAGTGGGGGTGGGGTGTCTGAGAGGGCAACACCCGGCTGTCAACAACCAAATCAAAGGGTACTTCCTTGTGCTATAATCAGAGGAAAACTAACTTTTCTCACCTCTTTTTGGATGAAAAAGTGAGTCATTAGAAATAACATGACTCACTACCATACATAATTGTTTACTGTAATCTGTGTATACGCCTTGTTTTGAAACACATATTTGGATTGATTGTGATGGCATGACTAGGAAAACAAAAACACTTCTTGGCTTGTACATGAGTCACACTTGATGACCATGAATATCAAAGAAAGGAAAGCTGGGAGGAGTATTAAGAATGTCTTTTTCCATTGCGCACACAGATTAGGTCCTGGATGTTGTTTTGAGTCTTATCAAGGCACCTCCACCCATCTAACCCCTGCATTCCCCTATATCCTGCACCACTAAATCCAACATGCCAAGGAAAGTCAGTTTGATAGTATCTTATTTTAATAGTGAAGAATTTGCTCTTGTAGTTAATGTATTTAACTCAGTGACCTTCTGAGAAATGGCTTAAAGAAAAACTACAGCAACATGACGTTCGCTGTGTGAGTAACTGCGTGCCATTGCAAAACACCTTCAGAGTCAGTACAATTTATTTTATTAGGCTCTCATTATATTTGTCTCTGTGAAACATAGTGCATATGGTATAGATCAATCCAGTCTATGTAGCATGGAAAGAACATTATAAAATACATCATCAAATTTAAAACACATGTACCATACAACCATCTATGTGTATAAACCTTTTACAAATAAAAAAAGACATTTACAAAACTTGACAAAAAATGAAAAGGCGTTTTTAGAAAGGGCATGTTAGGGATGGAGACAATAGGAAGGGTACAAATAAAATGTCACAATGTAGAAACCGAGATGCTACTCTAATACCAAGCTAGGTGAACCACACTGACCGCAGTTCCCAGCTTAGCATTGAATCGGCTACTAGTCACCATAGTTGTATATCGGTGTTGTAAAAAAAAGGACTGTAGAATTTCATTGGCTATTGCTGTAGTGATGGTGGTGGCCTTTTCTGAGGCCCTGATCCATGTTTCTGCTGGCTGTCAAGTGATGGCAATAGAAATGTGATCCATATACAATAATATGATCTTTTGTTTAGATAATTAGCAGTTCACAAACACTAATTACAGTCAAATGACCACACAATTATTTCTTCAATACATTGCCACTGAAGCACAGATGACACCCATTCTATATTTGGGCCTTATAACCACATTGCATCTATATAGTCCAGAAAGGGTGGGCCTAAGTGTCAGTAGCACAGTTATAGCTGATGTATTATGTAATTATCAGAGATATCCGCACACAGCCTATCTTAGATTGTCCCTCTTGAACAAGCAGTGTTTATGGCAGTGGAGAGTCATGTGACTCTAGGAATAGCATCATGCAACATTAATAAAGGACTCCAGGATGTGATGGTGGGACTCACACCACCTCCCGAGACTTCCTGATGGCGCAGCACAGGAGCATGCTAAAGATCATCCCAAACACCTGCAAAAGAAAGAGAGACATACATTACTTGTGTTTGTTCTTTACTCACCTCTGCCCTGCGCTCATCCTCCAGGGCAGCTGACAGTTAAACTTGATGAGTTACAGTAAATCCCACACTTACCATAACAACCCCAATGGTGATGCCGGCTCCTCCAATGATGTGTAGCTTGGAGTCAAACACCTCGTCAATGGCATCAGGGCAGCTCTGCAACACACCAGCATAATTCCTTTCAGCTTCCTCTAAGCCTATGCTGAACAACATGGCGTGTGGTATTGCACACTTAACAGACAGCCTGAGAGCATGCGGGCTCTGGTAAACCAGTGTTGCCATAGTTACACTGCAAAGAGGCTGAGGAAATGAGTGTGCAAAGGAAAGACTGATAACCTATGGCACACGTTTGACAATTATTTGACATACAGTAACGTAATTGCTTCCTAACAGCTTTTAGAACTTATGGATCGTCTTTGCTATTGAAATATTATTTTCTTTCTCTAGCTCTTGACTGAAGTACCTATCTGTGTTGGCATCCAATCTATACAAACATTCAGAGTAGTTGTACCTTAGTAATGAGCTCCTCAAGTAGCTCTCCCTGGGGACAGGTGTCTTTGTCAGCCTCTTCTACCGTACCAGTTGGCCCACAACAGTTCAGCTGTGAACAAAATCATGCCTTTAGAACACAAGATGGCAAAGGGAATAGACATCTATAACTTAAAGTATTTTAAAGGAACATTCTTGTTACAATTGTTATGTTGTTATCACAATGAGGTTGCTAGTCAACTGGTGGAGGCACTGTCCAAAATAACCGATCTCCAAAATAACCTATAATTTTTCTTACATAACTATTGGTGCAGAGATTAAAGGAACCCAACATGTTCATGCTGTTAAGAAGTTATGTAAGTGTGTGTTTAGACTCTAGCTGTTTCCCCCTAGATTATATACTGTAGGATAATTGCCTCCGGGCTCACTAAAAAAGATGTGCTTATTTTCCTAAAATGTGGTATTTTGCTGAATTTCCAACTTCTAATCATCCTAAACATTTTTGATATTAGGCGACACCGACAACTTTCCCATGGGAATACATTGCTTTAAGGAAATATTGCGTGTCAAGTTCTTTTAAGATAAGATCTAAGTCTACCTGAATTAGTATGAAGCTGAAACTAAAAGACATGGCTCACCCCAGTTTGAATCATCCGCAGAGTGTCTCTGAGTCTCTTATCTGAATTTGGTATCTTGAACTTATTGTAGGCCTGCATGTAGGATGCTGTGATGTCGTTTACCACCTGAAACACAGCAGCAAGACGGTAAAATAATACTTTATACACATAACTCATATTCATTGTGGTACCTTTCATGTTTGTAGCTTTGTAGAAAAGTTCTATCCAAATAAATGAATCATTGTTACATAAACTTGTACATTACCTTGCTTTGGTTGGAAAACACCCAGATACCAGCCGCAACTTCAATGGCAAATATGATAAGCAGGAAGAAGAAGAACTGCAAAGAGATAGACAAAATGAAACTTTTGATTGCTTGAATGTGTGCACGCGTGTGCGCATGTCTTTTGAATGCATGTGTGAACAAGTTACAAGGTCACTTGAGTGTAGCTAAACCTAATTTACAGGCTCCTCCTCCTGGGAGATTTAGTACAAGAAGATTAGGGCCAGACATGGAGGGAGGGGGAGAGACGGGGAGAGACAAGTGCTGCGAAATCTAGAGACTCTTCTCTGGCCTTGATACTGTTCAGTAAACAAAGATGAATGTAGCTTATATTTCTTGGAGAGCCCAATGTCGGTCTACAATCCACACTTGCTTAAGTTCAGTAACAAGGCCATATGCTGCTGAGTAAGATTGTGACAAATACATATAGACCCGGATATAGTATAAGAAACTGTTTTAAATAGTTTACGTTTAAAGTTAGTTAAGTGCAGAACAAAAAAGATGGTACAAACCATTCCCAGCATACAGGGGGACTCCTGGATGGCCCCACAGCAGCCCAGAAAACCCACCACCATCATTAGAGCTCCAGCTGCTATCAGGATATATACACCTACACACACATACAGAGAATCACAGACAAGCATATTTTGCAGTGCTCACATAATCCAAAATGTAACTTTGCTTAAATGATAAGGGATCCAGCTCAAGGACAGAGGGAATCTTACCCGTGTAAAACACATTTGGAGAGTCTGTTTCTTCAAACAGGCCTTTGGTCTGTGGGTCTAATCTCAGCCACAGGCCTATAGTGAAGACAGCAGTGCCTGCAAGCTGAAACACAACATCATGTTTATTTTCACAAACAGTTCTGCAGTTAGTTATCATACCACTAAATGCACGATGGACAGAGTCAACCTGATAGTACATATCAATTATATTAGCGAGAAACTAAGCTGAAGTTCTTGTCATTCATAAGCACTCTCCATATTTATGCAATATCCCATTTGACATCTTGTGTATTTCATTTTGATTTTACTACATCAGTTTACTTGGTGCTGTCTGAATTTTAAAATGTTTCTGCTTCCAGTTATCATTTAAAACATGTACTAACTAAGCATTCTTGTGGTCTAATTGTTACATGTTTTTCTCAGTTATCAGTCGAGGAAGAGGTCTCCACAGTCCTTTCTGTCATATCTAATTCTTCACCCACAACATTTCCAACAAATCTATTGAAAATGCCTTTTTTCAACTCTTAAAAAGTATAGGTCTGGGGACAGACATTTGTAACTCCTCACCAATGAGACTTTGATATTATAGTGTATAGAACACATTGATGTATTAAAACACATTGATGGAGGCAGGAAATGCTGTAATTTGCTCATCTAACTGCGTAAAAAGAAGGACCCTTTGTGTTTGTATTGTTCACATGTTTGCTTATACATCAACATGTGTATTTAATATTGGCACAAAGTAGCATGTCGATCCATCAACACATAGATGCCTGCATGTTATTATGTATGCATGTACATATATTCTGCAGCACTGTTCTTGTGCATAGCATGTAACCAAACAGAATAAAGGTGTGTATTTTACACGCTTTATGGTACCAGAGATTGTGTAATGTGCTACACATTGACTCACTTACAG